TGTCATCCAAAGTCTGAATTCATGTCACAGCAGCTGACGGTGCTGCTAATGGACGTTGGGACCATGGGACTGATACAAAGTACTGCGTCATCTCACCACATTCTAGATAGGCTTTTTCTTTCACTAATGTGAGTAGCTAAGATTGCAGAAGCAGCTTGTGCTGATGGAGAGTGAAAGAACCTCATGTGTCTGTGTGTGAAGTTATTTTGTTCTACAAAATCCACTAAATTATAATCACAGTAGGTGATCCATCCGTTCACAGAGTTCGAAGGACTGGGGAGGATTCAGGATGGGCACCAATATCTCACAAGCTTCATTTCCCCCAAATAAAGTTTACAAAAACCAAACAAACGAACAAACAAACAAAATGGCCCAACAAAAAAAGTCTTCCTGGGGAATGGGGGAGGAATAAAACCCACTTAGCTTTCCAGCAGCCGCTGTGCTTATTCTCAGTGCTGGATGGCCATGCTGCACACTGTAATGGGCTCCTGAAAATCTGGCAGCTTCTGGAAGAGTTGCATAGGTGGATGATATACCTGTTAGTAGAGCCTGTTCACGAGCCGCAGGAAGAGGAGCTTGTTGCACTCCACAGGGAAACTGTCCCTCCCCCAAGACTGACATGAGGTAAGGAGGGAAGGAGGAAGGGCAGGCCACGAGGCCACGGGTCTTGCAGGTTCAGTTCTGTCCTTGGGACCTCTTTTACCTCAAAGGCGGAAAGGCTACGGTCCTGTGGGAGAAAGCTCTTCTCCCGGTGCTGTGGAGGTGCTGTGGAGGTCAATTTGCTTGTTAGCTTGCTTTTGAGGGAGTTGAGGAGATCACATCCATGGGCATAATGTTCCCCTTGGCAGAGCAGCTGTGAGGCAGTAGAGCAGAACAATTCAACCCACTGCTTGTGGAAACTACAGATATTCAACATTCATTCATGTTGGTCAAGTCCCAACACAAAATGCAACATTAAAGCAACACTGTGACAGATCAATTTTTCTGCACTCAGGGACAGACCCCCCAGAGGAGCTGCTAAGCCAACCTCACATTAGTATAATACCACTGGCTTCAGTAAAATTACCCGAGGAATGAACATAGCCCATTAATTTCTACCTGAAGTGTGACTATGACCCCTTTCCACTTTTTCCAGAATGCCCACAGGGAAACAGCCCTAGGCAGGCTCAGCCCCAAGTCCCCACTGGGGTCCCAGGTCCTATGAACCAGCCTTTGGTCCCCACGTATGCCTGGCTCAGTGGAGAGTGCAGGCCCAAGTGCATCACAGGAAGCAGCAGCACCAGACAGAGCTATCACTTAAACTATGTTTAATTTCTGACATTACCTCGATCCAGATCATATTCCTACAGACTTTATTCTAACCACTGAATAGGAATGAAACACGATCAGAAGGACACATCCCAGCTCGAGACTCACAGCTCTTTGGTAACACAACATCTCGGTGGCGGTGTGGCACTTCACACCCAGCCCCTACAGTGACTGCAGCAGAGCAGGAGCACACTGCAGCAAAGTCTGCCCCCTGCTAAAGGCAGCACCCTGGTGACATTAGACAGCAGTCTTGGAAAGACTGGAAGGAGAGCTTAAAAGGCATTATTTGTCCCACCTGCTAATCAGCAGGTGCTGTTTTACTGGCATCGATGCTACCTATCTTTCCTAACCTTACACTTAATAAATCTTTTCCTGCAGTTCTCACCCCATGGGCATCCATCAGTTATTAAACAACTCTGCAGCCTCTTGAGTGAAGAGACAACAAAGAGGGCAGGGACCAGCTGGATTTCTAATGTGCATTTGAGGGGGAGCAGAAAGGAAGAGGGGTGCATTTGTTTGACAATAGATGAACAGCAGCTTCCCCAGCCTTAATACTGTGTATTTGCCTGGAAGGCCTGGCCTTGGCCATAGGCTCAGATTCCCTCTCACCATCCTAATGAATGCCCCTGCAGCTGCTCACCCCAACAGCCCTCTCTGAAACCTCTCTCCTTGGTGTGGAGTGAGACATGACACGCAGAGGGCTCAAAGTAGTACCACTTGCCTGGTTGGTGTCATCAACTGGTTCTGCACAAGCAAGGTGCTAGGCACTACTTGGGAAGCTTCCAGTGTGTTGAAAGATAGATAAATGGGTGGTGATGCGTCTTGAAGATCAGGTAATCCAGAGCTTCTCACACACTTCTCTCTCTCTCTCTCTCTCTTTTCCTCTAGTTCAGAAAAGCTGGAGAGCTTTTAAGTACCTGACAAGTATATTGAAGAGTAGGAAACACCAAATAGCCCAAACTAATTCTCCAGCCTTGCAGCAGTAAGGACTGGCCCTCTTCTGGGTTGCATTAGCACCATGAAGGGCCAGGAAGAGCAGCTGGTAGCATTCCTGCCTCCCTCTTTCTAGTATATGAGGAAACTCCACTGCTAAGTGCAATGCTGAGCCTGACTCAGCCCATGGAAAACTGCAATGTTTGAATGATGTATGGAAAAAAACAATCTGACTGCAGAGATCCTCCTAATTATTGCCCCCATCATGCTGACAAGCACCCAGCTCTGACCTTCCCAGAGGGTGAGGCGTGCTGTCCTGCTTTCCTTGTGTAAGCGGCCAGCAGCTCTGTGAGCTCCGCTCACTTCGAAGAGATCTGCACCAGAAACGAGGACACAGCCACCCTGACAGACCAAGGCATTGCTCGCACCTTTGGCCCTCTTGCCCGGGCCAGGCTCAGAGCAGGAGTGACATATTCACTACACACAGAAAACTTCTGCACCACCACTCAAGCCAGGGTCCGGCAAGTGAGATCAAGACTCTGGGCTTGGTGAAGAGAAGGGTACAGATAACAGGCCTGCTTGTGTCAGGAAGGCCATGAGAAAAAGGAACAGAGCCAATTAGACTCACCAGTCAATGGAGGAGAAATAATGGGATTAAGCTACAGCAGGGGGAACTCAGGTTAGGTATAAGGGAGAAGGCTGTCCTGAGAGGAGCCGACTGGGCCATCGAATGACCTGCCAAAGGAATCGTCATCACCAGCATGGATACGGCAGAGAGCAGACACAAGCCTCAAGAAGAGCAGGCACCTGACTGCTGCACAGCCCAGAGCTGTGGTGGGGGATGTGTATGTGCCAGGAGATGGGACCACTCCACCATGGAGAGGCCGTGTGCCAGAACAGGGACAGGCCATCTCTGGGATCTGTGCTCGTAACCTGAGCCATAAGGAGAATTACAGCAGCTGCCCTTGGCCCAGGGCACTGCAGGAGGAAACCCTCTTTGTCGGTAGTGTCCCATGCCAGGAGACAGAAAGGAGAGTCCAGTTTTCTGCTCTGAACTTTCCTGACTGACTAGACATGCCAGGACCAGCCCTAGTTTCAGTTTCTCTTCAGCTCCACCACTTCTCTGTCAAGCCACCAGGCAGCTCCTGTCCCTGCTGCCCAGTCCTTCTCCCCTGCCATGTCCAAGTGCACTATCCCCCTTTCCTGAGCCTGAGTCATGTCTTCACCCTTGAGAAAATGGAATGGGATGGACCAGGGGGGCAGTTCTACCAGGTGCACTGGGGTAGCACCAAGAATATGAGGGATGGGATGTCTGAGAAATCCTGGCATGCAGTGGGGAATACTGACTAGAGAGGTCCCACTTCTCAGGGTGCTGTGGGTCTGGACCAGCCACAGACAGTAGCACTGGGACCTGGCTGCAGCTGGCACCACGTAGATGGGGAAGGTGTTCAGCAACAGGAAGACCGTACAGATCCTGTGGGTCAGAACAGCAGCCGTGCCTCGAAGATCCACCTGGACAGACCACCTCCAGAATAAGATTTCACATGTGAAAATGGGGCCAGAGGAACAAGGCCAGGCATTCTCATGGAAAGCTCCAGAAAGAGCCAAGGACATGGTGCCTGAAACTCTGCTGCAGGTGTTAAAAGCTGGGGGGCCACAGAGACCCTGCTAATCTGTCCCTGTTGTGAAGACTGTCTTTGCCCCAGGGAGCTAAAAGGCCTGCCAAAACTTAGATAAATCCATCTGTCCAAGGCACCTTGGAGGCTGGAGATAGAAAGATGAGCCATTACAGCCTAATTTAAGCAACAGCGCAGATTTCAAAGAGAACATGTCAGGAAGGACAAGCAGGGACCTCATTCCTCACTAATGACCCACTGCAGCTCCACTGTCTCAATTCACTGAGACACACAAGCACACACCATTATCTCCCTGGAGTCAGAGAACATCCACATTGGCCTTGGTTTACATTAGGCCCTTGCAGAGAGAAGTGGAGTGCACAGCAAACCAAATGTCATTACTAAGCAAGGAAATCCCAGGGCTGCTTTCACCCAGTCTGAATCTACGCCAAAAATAATGAGAACAAAATGCAGAGAGGGATGTGCCTACGCTGGAGACCTTATGCTTCTCTGTCCTCCAAGGGACTCTCTTCTTTAAACCAACGTCTAGCTCTGGTAGTGAAAGTAAGGGCAGATGCTAAGACAGAATTATTAACAGAGTGAGATTTTAAGAGACTTCTCATTCAAACCACTGCTGTTTGTAGTTTAGCACTCGAGATCCAGAAGGACAAGCTGACTTGAAGGGCAAGAGACACTAACCAGGACATGCAGGGCACAAAGAGCAGAACAGACTGCTCTGGGGGAATGAAAGGTGGAGCCCTACAACACCCACAGTGCTGACCACTCCAGGCTTGCCCGCAGGAGATGACTTTCAAAATAGGACCAGTGTGGTACATGGGTGCACTTGCAGCCTCCTCAAGACCTGGGAGGCAAAGCAGTACAGCAGCACGATGAGAGAGCCAGACCCCTCACTAATGGCTGGCAGGAGGAAGATGGCTGGACTGAATACAGAGCCTCACTGTTTGCCCTTCTGCGACACATGGGGAGGCAGACACCAAGCACAAATGCCCAGGTGCCAATGGACTTGCCCTTGTCACCCAAGATGTGCTGCTCTTAGCTTTTGTTTGCCACAGCTGATGAGGGAAGTGGGGTGAAGCTGAGGAGCAGTGCTGTCTGGAGAAATCGCTAGCTGATTTGGCATGCACTCCCCAAAGAGCTGACTGAAAAGGAGACAGCTTTTCTGAGAACAAGGACACAAGAGATATGGGGATGTGTTGCTGGAGGAGGAAAAGCTGGGTGTCTGCATGCTGCAAACACTGTTGCAGCTTCAGTGACACGAACGCTCTTTGCCCAATGTTGCTGAGATCCTTTCCAGCAGCGCAGAAGGGGCAGCACAAAGCTCAGAGCAAACCTGCCCTGACAAGAGCAAGGCAGAAGAACCCAGTAGCTAATGAGCTACACAGAAGTCACCTCACTTCTAACAGCCTGACACCTCCCTGCAAAAACCTCTGTTGTGCAAAACATTTGGTTTTAATCAGGTTTTCCTCTACAATATCCCCAGCCTCTGTTCTGCAGAGCATCCCTCTTGGCAGATGCCTCCTGCACAGGTCCTGCACCAAGAGTGGGGTCACACAGAAACAGAATCCTTTTGATCCTCCTTTCCCCAGCCAAAGTTCTCAATGCTCCAGCACAGTTCTGCATTTGTCCCTCCTATCCCCTCAGAGCTCTCTGCCAAAATGAGGCTTCCAGGAGCCTGCAGCTCAGAGTTCACAGCCAGAGCCCAGCTGGATCTTATGCAAAATTCACTTGTGCAGACATGCACCAACCTGCTGCTCCATTATCAATAGGTGAACTGCAGCTGAACCTACCAGAGACTTCCTTGATGCTTGGCTGAACCAATTAGGACTTACTTCAAAGCCAGGAAGGGTCCCCAGCCACTTGATGTGCCACCTGATACCACGATGTCTGTGCCAGTGCCATCCTCTTCCCCTTCCCCAGCTCACCAGGGGCCTCCTGTTTCCAGCTCCTCTTTCCAGCTGAGCCCTCCTCCAGCAAACACACCAGTAGCGCTGCAGATCTCCACTCCATCTGGATTTGCACATTCATCCCTTCCCTAGTGCTGCATGCCCAAATAGAAAACCCTTTACCAAGGGGATGCTGACTCACAGCTGGCACACCGAAACTTCCGAAGGAGCTGAGCATGGGATCCTCTGGAGGCAATGCCATTCCCAGCAGTGAGAAAAAAGTAACAGTCGGAGCATGGTCTAAAAAAACAGTGGGGAGGGTGGGGAATGGCCAGGGGGAAGGGGAAGAGGCGGATTCGTGGCTTTCAGCCTTTGCTCTAACCTGCCATTTAGCTCCACGTGCCTGGGTACCCAGGACCTCCTGTCACAGGCAGCAACACCCTGCTCCAAGGGGCCTGTTCTCCTCCACCCTGTGAGGGGTCTCACTCCAGTGTGGGAAGCAGGGTGGGCAGAGGTGCAGCAGGGTGCTTTTTGGTGGCTGCTGGTTCCTTGGAGCACGAGCCAGCCTGGAGCCAGGGCTGGGAGCCAAAGCCACCCCCTCCCTGCATCAGGCCTGCCGTTTTATTCCCCCCTTTGGGTCTTGATACCATGAATTATGGTTTTGCTGTTGGTTTGGTTGTTGTTGTTTGGTTTTTTTTTGCATGTGGTGATCGGTCTAGAGTTCTGTGCCATGTCAGGGGGAGCATCTGCATGAACCCCCTCTGGGAGGTCAGAGCCACAGCGGGGGAAGCCTTTGCTGGCTGCCGGAGCAGGATGCCATGTCCACTCCATCCTGATGTCCTCCTAGGCTATCCCCCTTGCTAGGCTATCCTCTCCCCAAATCCTGTGCTGGCTTGGCCAGGCAATGGACAATGAGATCTCACCGCCTTCTGCTTTCACAGTGAGGTCTCCACGCAGGACCCATTGCGATGGAGGTGACGGTGGTCATGGTTCAGGCAGCCTTCGTTGCGGTGTACAATGAGGACAGGGAAGTAGAGGGCATCCTGATAAGGAGGGGGGTCTTCCTCCTCCACAGTCACCTGGCTGGAGAGGCGTGTCTGCTCAGTGGGGCAGCTCTGCTCGTTCAGGCTGCCACTCCGGCTCCGCCAGAGGCAGCTGCGGCGCGAGCCGTACAAGCGGCCCAGGGAGAAGCGGCTGCTGCTGAAGGGAATCCTGGGACTGCCGTTGCAGATGCTCAGAGCACTGCGGGAGAAGATGGAGGAGCTGCTTATAGTCCTGTGGCAGCGCTCGCAGTTCTGCCGGTAGCCCCCGTAGCGGCAAGCAGAGTAGCTGGTGCAGCCGGAGAGCCCCACCAAGTCCATCAGGACCGCTTCCGAGTAGCTGGGCACCAGCTGCTGGTTGGACCGTATGTGCCACTCCAGCTCGGTGCTGTCCACCGTGTTGACACGGGGCATCCTCCGGCAGAAGGAGCGCTCCTCGGCCGGCGTCACGGCCACGTAATCGAACCCAAAGAGTTTTTCCACGTGGTAATGGACATAGGAGGTGCGGTACTCATTTAGCACCCGCAGGGGCCAGGATAGGGTCAGCAGAGCTGCCACCCAGAAGACATAGTGAGATACATACCAAGGCAGGTTGTCTGGGTCAGAAAAGGCCACCATGTATTCCTTGAAGTCCACATTTTTGAGGTGCATCCCCTCCCTGGCCTCCATGTAATCGTCTAGGCCCTCGTTCTCCGTGAAGAAGCGGGCCCGCTGGGTGAGATAGGAGTTCTCGGACTCCACGTTGGCAAAGCTGAAACACTTGGTGAAGCGGAGCCGTGTGGCTGGGTAGCTCTCCAGGTCAATGAGGTCCTTGGAGATGTCCTTAACTCCACAGTTGGAATAATCAAACTCGGCCTCTGCCACGTGGGTGTTGACCCGCTCGTGGTACACTTGGGTGGTGGTGTAGGCGTCCCCGTTGCGGTAGCGGGTGACCTGCCGGGTCCTGCGGACGTAGTGGTAGCTGATGGCCTTCCACCAGATGCAGGGGGTCGCCTGCTGCATCCGCTGCACACGCTCGTGCACGCTCTCCACGTCCACTTTGTACTGCAGCTCGTTGCGCGTGTAGCAGTGCCAGCACTCCACCAGGTACACCACGTAGAGCATCACCAGGAAAGCCAAGGGGATGTAGACATAGCCGTTGGAACAGGGGCTGTCATGGTACATCATGGACTTGCCCTTGTAAGCGCTGTCAAAGGTCAGCCGGGTCACCTTGGTGACGTGGCACCAGGTCATAGCTCCCATGCAGCCATACATGAGGAGGGACAGCAGCAGGCATTTCCAGTGGGACTCTCGGCACAGGGACTTGCTGAGAGACTGCTTCACTGGCCGCTGCTGCTCCAGGGGACCGGGGAGAAGGAGAGAGAAAACAAGAGAGGAGTCAGTGGGCTGCAGCGGCAGGGGAAGGGGCACAGGCAGCAGGGTGCTGTGGTAGCATCTCTAGTTCTGCAAACAGAGACCAAACAGCAGATGCCATGGGCCTCCAGGCCTCAGCGGGCAGGGCAGAGACTGGGATCTCTCACAGGATGACAGTCATGCAGTGCAGGCAACTATCACCCCCACCTCCATGTCTGGTGCTCTGCCCCTCCCTGGGAGACAGACAGAGCCCAGCTGGACATGGTGGAGAGTGGTAGAGGACAACTCTGTCAGCCGCACCCTGAGCGCCTCCCTTCTCCAACAGGGAGTAACCCCTAACATTGCCACTTCCCAGGGAGAGCTATTGGAGCACCAGGTAAGAGTCTGGGTGATCTCCTCCACATTCCTCAGCTTTTGCACCCACCCCACCAGCACAGACAGCTCTAACTGATGTCATCCCACCTGAACCCCTCACCACAGCTCATGCCACTGCACACGACGTCTCTCCCCCGCTTCCCAGTAATGACCAACAGCAACACTCCAATTCCTCCACCAGGGCGGCACAAGCTGCCTGGTGCGCCTGTAAGATGGAGAAACAGACCTTCTGCAGCTGGGAAGGTCTGTGTTTGGTAATGACAATTCCCACTGCAACACTTGGCAGCCTAAGGAGCTCTGAAGTGTTTCTCAAGTGCTTTATAAACCATCCCAATGAGAAAGTACTTTTCCACGATTGAAATGGAGCCACCTCTGGTAGAAGAGAAAGCAAATATGGAGTAACACCCTAAAAAGTGCTCGGGCTGGAAGGGAGGAGCATCCTAACAATCTGCAGCAGCAAGGAGGGCAAGAGGCCACTCACAGCTGCTGGCAAATGTGCCTGCTTGCACTGGGATTCAGATGTGACAGTCCACACTTCTGACAAAACTGCTCTTAGGTCCTTCATGGTGAGGAAAAGGCAGAAATTAGCAACACGACTTTTTAAAGGGATTGCACTGGTGCCTTTACCACAGTACAGTGCAGGGTTTCACACAAACCCATGAAAAAAACTTTGTTAAGGAAACCTCTGTTACTCTGCAACACTCTGAAGTCTCAAGTATTGATCCATTGTCTGCGAGATCTGACATCATCCTACCCAAAGAAAGAACAGACAAAGTAACTATTTGCTTTCTTATACAGAATATTTCATCCAGCAATCTCCAAAGGGGCAACCTGAGAGAAGGGGTCAAGAACCCCAGCCTTGTGCAGACGCCACCAAATTCTCTCAGAGGATTCAAGCTTTGCTCTCCCTCTGCACCTGCAGGCAGCAGCAGCTCCTGAGCCCACCTCCACCGTGGCAGGGGCCAACTCCAGCTGTAATGACACTGCTCATGGCACTGCAGTCTAAGCCTGGCTCCATTATTCTCCACTCCTGAACATGCTGGGCTGGAGAGGTCTCTCATCCAGGAATCCCAAACAACTGATTGGGCTCACACTGCTAGAAAGCAGGAGGGGCACTTTCACTCTGGCATGAAAAGGAAAATTAAAGCAAGAACCAGAAATCACAAGGCCACTGGCAGGTCTAGGGACAGCCCTGGGCCTCTTCTTTCCTGTAAGAAATGCTTCTTGCTCTTCTGAAGAGCCCCTCATTCCTGGCTTGGTGCTCTGGAGTCCCACAGGCCAATCTTTCCTCCCCACCCTTGTCAAAGCCTGCCAGTGGGACTTCTGTCACTGCACTCAGGGATCCTGCCCAAATCTCCAACAGAGGTTTCTCTCCTAGAGGCACAGAGCTCCCCTGCCTGCCCACCCCAGCAGCCAGCCCATGATGAGCAGAGCAGGCAGCACATCCAGAGAAACCACTGCTGGCAAGGGGAATGCTGGTACATCCCACTGGTACTCCCCATTATCAGTAATGCTGAGCTCCTCTCTTGAAGCCTCTAGCTGAGAGCAGGACCTGGAGACAGACAGACAGAGCCCAGGGCTGGCAGGTAGGGTGGTGCTGGTCAGCAGGCAACTCAGAGAGGTGCAGGATGGTGCTGCTGGCAGTGCTGGCATGGACACATGTGCAGCCCAATCTTCCCAGTGCAACTGACCACTGCAGCAGCCTCACAGTCATGGGGCAAGAAGGCAACCCCAGGTAAGAGAAAAGGGAGTGAGGAGAAGAAGGGGAGGCCTTTCAGGAGGCAGAGCCACCTGAGCTGTGCTCTCCCTCCTGAGGTCAATGCTGCAGTTACAAGAGCCTGCTCAGACCCCTCTGTCTTTGCTTGGATGCAGCACGGTTCTCCCATGCTGGAATACTGTGCCACTACCCAGGCAGCTAAAGGCTTCCTCTCTCACTGCTGCCTTCTGCGTTGCAGGCTTTCCCTGGCAGCGGCAGCTCTGTGAGGATGTAAAGGAGCAGCTCAGCCAAAGGAGGAGCATGGGGAGGGTCTGGACAGGGCTCTTGGAGTGGTACATGCCAAGCTTGGGGTGTCTGTGGAGTGTGAATGCTGAGAAACAGCACCTTGTTTAGGAGGCAGATACACAAACACAGCACAAGGAATAAAGCAAAGCATCCAGCTCATTCATTTGCCAGCTGGGGAAGGGGCACCACAATGACAGGTCTTTGGATATGTCTGTCTCAGAAAAGCAAACTCCACCTCATAGTCAGCCCCCAGCCCTTCACATTCTGCACTGCCTGTGTCGCAGGAGAAGGGAGGCACTGGCTGTCACCCTGCAGAGATGTAGGCAAGCCCCACTGCGGTTACCCACCCAGGGCAGGGAGCACGATGCAGCCCAGGCTTGGTTCCAGGAACTGTGTTAGCAGGGCTCTAGTCTATGCATTAGTCTCCTCCTAGGACTACGCAGCATTTAGACACTGCAGCGCTTTTACAGGGTCACACTAACCCCTGCTGTAAACTGTTTACAACCCAGCTCTGTCCTAGGCTTTTGAGGTAAAACACATACACCTCGGCTGCACCGGTGGGGTTTCCGAAAGCTGATCAAGTGCCAGTGACAGGATACAACCACAGCAGAGACAGAGGAGGAGCCAGATGCAGAGTCTAATCCCAGTAGGAACTGCAGCATCCCTACTCCTCTCCCAGGCTGCAAAGGGCTCACAGGAGCAAACAATCAGCTCCACAGATTCCTCTGCAGAAGCAGCTGAATAAGATTGTCTCCCTGAGCTCTTAACCAGCCTTGGATAAGTCCAGCATAGCAAACAAGCAGATGAAAAAGCGGGGAAAGAGAATTCTGTCTCAGAACAGTGTCACTAGGAGGAGAGCAGGCACTGATATAAATGACATCGTCATCTGCCCGCTGCAGTCTGATGGAATGAGGCAAAATACTTGCCCTACTTCACTGCAAACAGGGTTTCCCTCCATCACCGGGAGCCTCCCTCTGCTCAGGCTCCAGCACTGGAGAGTGGTAAGCAAATCTGCTATTGCAGGCACACTGGAACATCTCTGCAGTGCTAGGGGGCAAGGCTGGCCATGGCTCAGCCGAACCTGTTGTGGGATCCCAACCAGCTCCTTTCCCTGTGCTTCAGTTCACCTGGTGGAACGCAGGGGCAACCCTTAGCGGGCACTAACTGAGACACACCTGGGAAAGACAGGGGGTGGGCTGCTGCTTGGGCCTCCCCTCCCTCCTGCGTGCCACTGGCCTCTGACACTGCCCTGAACAGAGATGGAGCCCCACACCTGCAGCTGCTGCTCAGGATGCGTAGGGAGGGATGGAGGGGATGACTCACAACCAGCCCTGAAGCAAAAGGAGACACCCACAATGCACAGGGCAGAGGCAGTACAAGAGGGGACCCCTGACACTGCTTGCACTAAACTCCTTTGAGGTCTGGGGGATCCTCTTTTAAAAAAACAGCCTCAAGGAGACAAACATGCCCAGCACCTCAGTGGCCAAGCACATGGGTCAAAATCCCTTAATCACCCCTGCAACCTTGACCCTGCAACTTTGAATACTAAAATCCTTCAAGTTCTTCAAGCCACTTCCAGTTACAGCCTGGCCCCATCCACTGTCCCCCTTTTTAACAAGTGTTTCCATGTCATTACCTCCCACAACTCTCACCTGCCTCTCCCTGCAGAGGCCGCTGTGAAATCTCTGATTCACCTCCAGAATGCTAAACCTTCGTATTTTGAGACAGCCTGGGGTTCAGAGAGTTAGGCGTCCTCTAGACAGCCCTCTAGAGGGCTGAAAAAACAATCCAAAAAAATCCCCAGAGCAGCAGCCTGAAGGCCCAGGTAGCTCCCGAGTGCCAGGTGGTGGCAGCAGCTTGCAGGGGACTCCAGAGGGACTCCTGAGCATCAGTTTCCATGGCTCTTCCCCAGGATTCACTTACATCATGCAAGAAATGAATAAGCCCTGATTCCTTTGACCTCAGATGCAAAGAAAAAGGGAGGTAGGGAGGATCCAGTCATTTCTAGGAATTACCTCTGTCTTCAAAGGCTCTGGACAAACATTGGCAACTTTTGGCCAGGATGGTCCCAGCAAATACCCACATCACACACCCCATGCCTACACCCCAAGCTCAGGAACCACCTGCCTACAAGAAAGAGGTGGCTCAGTCCTAGGCTGGCAGTGTTGCCAACTGCAGAGGACAGAGGAAGGCTGAGCATCGACAGGCCAGGGAATCCTGCCAGCAGTCAGCTCCTGCAGCGGTACCAAGGTCTCCATTTTACACAGGAGCTTGGAGGAGGACTGGTTCCTTCCATCAGATCCCACCTGAGCAGCAGGACAAGGACATACTTTTGCTTGTTCCCAGGTTGAAAAGCTTGTCCCTTGGCATCTCCTACCCTCCAAGTATGCACTGATGAGTGAAATTCAGTTCACCACCACTAAGTGTAGGTGTAGGCATGTGATGCCAAGATGGAACAAGGGCTCAGTCAGCTCTGGCTAGTACCTCTTGCTACTTGCCTGGGACAAGATGAGAAGCACCTGAAGCCCTGCCTGGCTCCTAGATGCAGCAACCTGAGATATCAAAATGAGACACCTTCAAATAGGACAGGGCAAGTTTCCCATTTTCCAGACATGTCCTGTGGCTTCCTACTCACCCTGGCCAATGGACCCTGACATGTGGGATTGAGCCACACTGCGGGGACACTCAGCAGTGCTGGCACCAGCAGTTGGTTCTGACAGGAATGAGGACATTGCACAGCCCGTATGGCGTTACATAGGCACTAGAACACAAGATAGGAACATTGTCCTCTCCCTCTCCTGACAGCTGTGAAGACAAGAGGATTGCACTAGGTCAGTCCATGAATCCAAGCTCACCACTAAAGTCTCTCCTCATCGCATCAGATGAGACACCAGCAAGCATGGCACCATCACGAGAGGCTGCAGCTTCCCTCTCCTCCACCAGCTGCTTCATGCAAGTCTGTGACAGCTTCTGGCCAAGGAGGATGCCCTTAGCCTAAACAGAGCAGGTCATGGACGACAGCCTTTCTGCCTGCTCCCATGGAGTATTATACTGACACCCTCGTTGGCAGCCACCACAGAGTAACTGAAGCTCGGACAATCTTATAATCCCTGCGAGCCAGGGGGCACTGTAGGTGAGGGAAACTCGTCTGGGCACTGCCCCTGCTACACTTCTCTCACCCAAACTGGCTCTTGCTCTGGCTCCTCTGAAAAGTCTGTGCCGTGTTGAAAGTAGAACCAGCACTGCCAAAGCACCGGCAATAAGAGACCACATCACAGCAGGGCACAAGCACGTCCTCAAGCTAAAAAAGCCCCTCACAGTTTGGCTACCCTCATCAGGATCTGTTTGAAGAGCTGGGCTCAGATCATCAGGAGTTGTTGAATGCAGGCAGGAAGAGAGGAACAGACACAGAGTATACAGTATTTGTACAGCTTCCCAGTCCTTGAACTTCAGCATTCCTCTCCTGCAATTATTTATATCTAAATATAAGTCTGTATATATAGAATAACTGTGCATGGGCATGCATGTTCTGCCCAAGCCAAGGAGGCAGAGAATACCAGAATTATGCAGCACTCACAAACTGCAGCTCCTCATCAGTAGAAGGGGAAGTGATGCACCAGCTTCTGAGTATCCCCCCAAGCTGCCCTTTGAGCTGTGGTCTCACCAGACAGGGCAGCCCACCACCTGCAGAACACTGTCCTTCCTACACTGCCTGGTTGCCCTCCATGGGTCAGCAGCCCCATGGCATAAAGTGAGTCTCACCAGTCAGTGCAGTTGCCTTCTCTCTTCTTGGGAAGCGCAAGCTGCAAGCAGGATCTGTAGAGGCAGACAAAAGGGCTGGCACACCTGCCTCCCGATGGTGCTCCCAAGGCACAGGGCACCCTGCTCTTGACCCTTTCTGGCATCTGCTGCCTGGACTCCAGAAAAGTCATCCGCTGAGGGAGACTGCAGCACACCTGGAGGCAAGGCTGTGCTGGTACCTGGCCTGCCCCAGTCTGCACCTTCCACTTCTCTAGCTGGGAGCAGCCACCAGCAACAGTCCCTGGCTTTGCCATGTCCCCAAGCCCTCTACCCTGCTGCCTACCGCGTCTTGCCTCACAGTGACCCAGGCAGCTGTGCCACATCCTGGATATCCCCAGAAGCCAGCGCACAGCAAGGCGGGGGTCTCCATGTCCACTTCTCCCAGGCATAACAAGCTCTGCCCGCGGCTGTAAGCACAAACGGTGCCCTGCGCTTCTCGTTTCTGATTTTTCCCTTTCTCCTCTATCCCGGCCACTCCAGCTCCGGCCCCCGCTCCGGACGGCGCTGGCTGCTGCGTCCCTTCCATCCCCGGAGGCTCCGCAGCGATGACGGGCGAGCGATGGAGAAGAGGTGCGCTGGGGCAGCCCATCGGCGGCGCGGACCGACGGCTGGGTATCCTCGCCCCCAACCCCCCTCCACCCCCGCCGGCCCGCATCGCATCCCCGGGGCCGGAGCGGGGCGAGAGGGGCTCCCAGCGAGCGGCTCCGCACCTGTGCGGGCAAAGCCCGGCCCGGCCCGCGGCGGGCGGCCAGTGAAAGCGCCATGCAAGGGTGGTAGGGGGCAGCCCCGGGCCGGGGGCGGCCGCTCTGCTCACCTCCTCTCTGGCCCCCTCCGCCTCCTCCTCCGGAGGCACCGGCGTGCTGCTGCCTCCCTCGCTGGCGGCGGCCGCCGAGGCCGGGGGGGACATGGCGGCGGGGGCGCCCCGCTGGCGGTGCCTGCGGGCTGGGCAGCCGCATTATCCCGCCCGCCGCCGGGCGCTGCCTCGCCGGTCGCCGG